GGGTAGCTTGGACGACAAATGGGACAATAAAGAAAATAACGTCAATCGTCCACCCGCGACTCCGGCCAGAAGCTCATACAAGGAGACCTTGTAAGCACTCTCATGAGCTGCGTCTAATAGAGGCCGGGTCGCAAGGCACCGGAGATATCGGTGCTATGATCACTGCCGTCATATGAGTGCATCGTGGGTATGAGGATTTCCATCCACACTCTGAACCTCAGCGATAAGGGAAGCATTTCGGTGGCATTGTCGCCTGGGTGGCTTGGCCTGGCACTTGGGCGTTCTGGGTAGAGCTCGTGATGAAAAAGGTGTTCTTGGAGTTTGTGGCTTTCATTTAATGTCAGGATATAGAGGGTTGGTCGAGAAATATATCAACATGGGGCTCAACCTATACTGTCCAGGCCTGGCTCAGACTTGCCTTTTACAACGTCATTGTCAAAGGAAAGCCAGATTCTGTCATGCCAACAGGGTTTCGTGTCGAAACTGCACAGTTGTCACGCTGTCTGAGTGTACGCTTCCTCGACTCGGAAGTATCTGTGTTGTCATCACTGCCAGTGACGCAAACATAAGAGATGTTCGGTGCTTATCATGATAACAGTGTAGTGCCTTTTACCCTCCCGCTCTCCATTTTCGCTGTTCGAGAACCGAACTGAATCTGTAAAATTTCGCAGTCAGCAGTACTCACTAAAGGTACCGGTAAGATCACTCACAGCTCTCTTCTTTTCAGAAGCCACTCCGGTCATGCCCAGCTCTAAGGCTAATAGCCGCAGGACTCGTTTCCCGGGTTCGACATCCCCATCGGCCTGGTCAAAGTTACACTTCTCCCAGACTGGAATCCCGATGGCCCAGCGCACCAGCTCTTCATCCAGGAATGGGAAGCGGACCTCCCGGCCCCAGTGTGACATGACACGATCGTCTCGGCCTAGGTTGCGCTTGCCCAGCCTGCTGACGTCGAGCTTCAGTTCGTCGATCAGGCCAGAGTACCCTCGCCTGTCAAAGGCCGTGGCATGGCGGACGTAGCCTCCAAAGAGCTCATCGGCACCAAGCCCTGACAGCAGCACTCGTGCGGAGGTTGTGCATGGCACGGAACTGTCCGATGCGGCATCGGCGAAAGCTGAGCCTTGACCGCGAGCGGCGAAGTACAGGGCGCAGGCAATGGACAAGTCCATTTCCGTGTTGTGGGGGAAGATGAGCGACGTGACTTCACTCTTGTGGCCAAGGTATTCGGCATACGGAACGTTGACCTGTAACATAATGAGAGGCTGCGATGGCATATGAGACGGGCACGTCATGAGACAAAGTGGACTTACACAGAGAAATCGCCAAGTCCGTCCCGGACAGACAGCTTGGAGCTCAGCGAAGGACTTCCTTCCTGTGATTCTGTCCGGGCAGACCTCGTAGATATCGAAGGAGTCAAGCATAGCTTGGTCCTTTGACTTCTTCGCGTTGGCCGCCACTCGAGGATTCTCGAAAGCGACGTTGATTAGATCGACACCTTGATCCTGGGGAAGGAGGTCATGGCATAACCTCGCCAATACAGTGCAATCGAGCCCCCCAGAGAATAAGACAGCTACTCTCCATTGCGGTTGCTGGTCAGACATGGAAGGGGGTGTAGGTACATTCAGAACGCGCAACTTGAGCGACTCTGTTAAGTGGTGCCGTAACGATTTGACAGAGACCGAGCCCCGAGCCATTGGCGATATAGTTCCTTCAACCGGCATTGAGTCGTTGAATCTTCCAATAGCAGAGACCTGGATGGGTAAGTTGGAAAGTATTGTTGCGATGGACACGGGAACCAGACGCCCGCTACAGCAGTACTTACAAAGTGCTCGGCATCCTCCCCGTCCAACCACTGTAATTTGATTGGCACAGGATTGAGCTCATTCAATCCATTGGAACCGACCTCTGTTGAAGCCAAGTTGAGAACATACACACCGTCGGCCTCGACTTCCTTCCACTCTGGAGCAACAGTTTCCGCGATGCTGGACAAGACCAGCCCCTGCATATCCTGTCGAATAAGCAACGACCGTCTACCGAGGCGATCGCGACCGAAATAAAGCTTCTTCGAAGGCTTGTCGAAGAATGCAAAAGCAAAAGGGCCATCAATGGAGCGAAGGACCTTCAAGATTGCGCCCTCGCGATTCGACGAGCTCTGCGCAACAGCTTCGTTCAAGAGACCCGCAACCGCTTCACCATCGTTACCCGCGACATCATGATGGCGAATCTTCCAAGCCTCGCCATTCCAGCAAAGGACCGATCCGCTTGCAGAGTCGACAAAGGGCTGCTGCGCGAGATAATCGCCGCGCAGAGCAAGGACGGTAGATGTAAAGGCGAGATGTGTCGTTGGTGTGTCATCCAGCGCGTCACTCAGGCGCGTCTCATGGGTGGCGATATGGTCTGGACCGCGATTGCAGAGACATCGCCGCAGATCTGCTGGTATCTCGTCTGATTTGTGAGGAGAGATCACGACATGTATACCACACATGATACCATAGCGCAACCCCGAAGTCGTTGTGTTGAAATGGAGGCACGGGCGGGAGGCCAAGAGGTGACGTTCAGATGCAAACTGTAAATCCTCCAACTCACTTAAGATGGATGAAAGGGTTAGGGTTTCACCACCCACAAAACAACGGCGTTTATAAATATAAACAGGCCCGAAGGCAAAGATGTGGGCGAAGAGCAAAGCTGACTCTCATGCATGATTGCTTCATTCTGAACCAGAATAACAACGGGGACTTCTTTCCGGATGGCCCTGATGGAACATGTAGATTCCTGCCCAGCTGACAACTTGGCGCGGCGTATGAAAGCTACCAAGCGTCTGGGTCTTGCGATCTCATCATCCTCGTCCCTACAACAATTTTTGAGGGAACTCCCGAAGACACGACATTTACGAGTCAATGTATAAGTACTATTCCATCAAATTGAGTGATGAGAGATCACTATATAAAGGCTATACCAACTACATGCTATGCTAATGATCTCCGATCTAGAGGGTGGTGTTGGATACAACGACAAGGGCTGCAAAAAAGAAAACAGAGAGACTACCGACCTCTTGAATCTTGAGAACTAGACATCCCAACCACCGCTGACAGGATACGCCACGGCCGTGATGAACCTACTTTCCCCGCTCAAAAGGAAGAGCACCATATTCGAAACCTCGTCAACCTTGGCTGCTCGCTTGAACAATTGTCGTGATGCAACTTGCTCGGGGGTGAGTGCCGACCCAATTTGCTCGGTAAAAGCTTTGAGCATTGGCGTCTCCGTCATTCCCCTGCTTTTTTGGTTAGCAAACACAGATACGCGCTATCAGGTGCGCTCTCGAAATTGCTCACGGGCAGATAGCATTGACCCTAACAGCACGGTTGGCGTTTTCCTTGGCCGCCGTCTTGGTCAGGCCGATCACAGCGTGCTTGGACATGCAATATGGCGAGAGGAATGGGACGGCTGTCAGACCACCCATGCTCGCTATATTGACAATGCTTGCTCCATCAACCACGTTGGGCAATTGTGACCGGAGCGAGTTGAATGTCCCCTTCAGATTGATGTCGATGACAAGATCTAGGTCCTCCTCTGAAACGTTCGGTATGTCGGCCATAATGCCCATTACACCTATATAATAAAGCGTCAAAATTTTTGACAAGCTTGGCAACGTTTCGTCTTGTACCACTTTCTCATAGAGGGAGGGGGGGATTTCTTACCAGCGGAATTCACACAACCGTCAATTTTGTCAAAGGTCTTGATTGTCTTGGCGATCCATGCCTCCACCTGGTCTCTTTTTCTTACATCAACGACTTCTGTGATCGCTTTGCAGCCGGGAAAGTTTCCTATGATACTCTCTTGTGCCTTCTGTAGTTCCTCGCTCTTGACATCGGCTAGCGATAGTGAAGCGCCTCTCGCAGCTAGTTGTAGTGCGACGTCAAGCCCGATTCCACCTGCCGCACCAGTCACAGTATAGACTTTTCCCTCCATACTCATTTTACTGTCCATGATAGTGTGTCGTGGTGTTGAGGCGGGTGAGGAGACGCCGCTGAAAGAAAATCGCAGGTTGTAGTTGCAGTAATGATAGGCAGATCTTATTTGTTCCAAGGACTACTGAGACTGGAATAGATGGTCTGTGTTGTCCTGTTTAGTTGCTACAAATGAATAATCTCTCGTCCTTATAGTGAATGGGCCATCCTTTCCCAAAGACATGTTCAAAGCGCTCGTTATATGGTAGCTCTAAAAGAAAGTCGGACTTTTGTGATGCGACTTCCCCTTGCAAACTTTGCGGACATATCCGGTGAACTTGATAGGTTACACATTACGATTATGAGCCGTAATATATCAAGAGTATTGTATGGACGTTGTGCTCCATAATGGATCATTTTCCCCAGCGGGACTATCCCGTATCGCTAATGATACGATACTCCAACGTAACCTAGCGAATCCTTAGTTCGTTGGATGAAGGAGCGGCCAAGATGACATTGAGGACAATTTCATGTTCTAGGTTAGACAAAGCCTCTAGTCGGGCTGAAGAGGAAGGCTGATGAAGGACAATACGAAGCCCTGCCTATTGTTGGTTAGCATTCCGCACGTTGGATCCCCACAAAGATGCAGTGCCCACAGTACAACCAACGTGATGCAAGATTGGGCTTGGTCATGGGCGTCTCTAAATTGAAGGCCAACACAACCATGGCCATTTTAGAGCTTACATAGGGTGTTTCCCGAAAGAGCACTGGCTTCGGCAATGGTGGCTAGCAGCAAAGCTCCTGAAATGGTAGGGTCAGGATGCCTCATGCCAAACACTGCCAATACAACGGAAAGTTATTCTACGCGCGAGAATTCCAAAGCAGAATCAATTGAGAATTATCCATGAAAAATAATAATATTTTCATTGCAAGGGTGAATTATGTCCATTTGGTTGCATTAAATTGTGATGGGATGTATGCTGAATTGGGGAGGTCGGCCCACGAGTCGGGTCGATGCACTATATAATAATAGTGAGCAGCTTTATTTTCAACAGCTGCATAGCTCAGGGGAAGAGTGAGTCAACTTCGAATTCCCCAAATTCTCAAACCACCATTAACACCAAAAACAGGCGCCGGGCTCATAACCCGGAGGTCCAAGGATCGAAACCTTGTGCAGCTATAGGCCCTGCCTTCATTTTTTAATTTTTGTTCTGTCTTCCTTTTGCTACTTCCTTCTTATTTTTGGAAAAGAAAAATAAGCTTGAATTCATTTTCTCCATCAATTGGTATGACAGAATGTTGGTAGCGAGGCTTCCTTCTGTATGCTCATCTGCATGCAGATTCTTTGACTACCATTTTGTGCCATACTATTCAACAAGTAGGCGCTGATTCTTTTTTATTTTCTGTAACACAACAACTTTTCTATTGTGTACCGTTCATATGGGAAAACATTCAACATTGGTGATAAAATTTGTGTGTATTTTCAAAGTGACGAGACAAGCCCATCATTGTAAAAGTCTGAGTTCTTTCAACTGTCTAACTTATTCTACACCTAATTGGTCCTCTTTACAACAAAGGCACCCCTCTCGATGGTATTGATAACAATATATCCAGACTTGAAGAAAGGATAGTGACCCCAAGTGCCCACAAAGTCAACAACACCACCACCGGGCAAGGCATCATCCTCTGGGTAGATATCAAAGTATGCAACCTGGCTGACACCGGCGCCTGTTGGATCCGCTTCCAGCGACGACACATCCAGCACATGAAGGCCGCCACCATAGTTCGATTGGTAGGCAGAACCATCAATGACGAACTGGTTGTGGTCGATACCCTTGGCGTACTCGTTCCGGAAGAAGCCAGTCAACTTGGGCGCCGCGAGCGAAGTGATGTCCCAAAAGTAGGTGACAGGGTATTGCTGGGAGCCCTCGCCAGCTTGGTCTTCCTCATCGTACTCGTCGTCCAGCACGAGTCTGGTCTGCCACTGCGTGTCGGTGACCCAGCCTTGATGCGTGTACGACGCTCCCGTGTAGCCAGTGCGCGAGATAATCTTGGTGGCGGTCTTGTTGGTCACGTCGTAGATGGTCAGGGTGTCCTCATTGTAGCCGTAGCAGATGTCACGTCCCACGTACTGGGTATCGGGGCCGCGGTAGACCAGACACTGCGCATCATGGACGTATCCATCACCAGCAGCGCAACCGGGGGAAGTAGGGTTGGCCGGGTCGGTGAGATCGATGAAGATCAAGCCGGATGCGCATGCGGCAGTGCGAGGTGCAGCACCGACGGCCACGGCGAAGTTTGACTCGTCGTTGACGACAGTGTTGTGCGTGCGCCCAACAGGGAGCCCATTGAAATAACCGGTCAGGTCGTCACTGTCCAGGTTGTCGAAGGTCTTGGGGCTGGCAGGGTCGAGGTCGACGAGCTTGGACATGTCGAAGATCTGGATACCGTGGTTCTGAGCTTCACTGCCAATGACAATGAAGTTCTTGTATCCGCGGATCTCACGCCAGATGATGGGATCAGCCGTGGGGTATTGAGGAAGACGGCCGAGATAGATCTGTCTTTGATGTGAGTTTCAAATTCGAATCGTCATTTTGCGAACAGCGACATTCTGCAGGAAGTGACTCACCAACTTTCCTTCAGAGCTGACCTCAGAGAAAGAGGCACCATCAGCCTGAGCAATCGCAATGAACTCTCGGCCCTCAGGGCTTGTCCAGCCCCAAGTAGAGGAGCCCTCGCCCGTAGCACTTCCAAGGTCCGCATGGCTCTTGAAGTCATAGAAGTCGATCTATCCGTGTCAGTCAATTGAACATCAACATGTTTCTTATGGTGTTCTTACATTGCTGCACCGGAAGGTATTGTTGGCATCGCCAGGGATAACCTCAGCAACACCATCTACACATGCCACGGGAGCAGCCCCGGCAAAGCTAGGATACAGAGCCGAGTTGAAAGCACCAGCAACTTTTTGAGCGTTCCATGAGGCCTTAAGGTTGATGTCAGTGAAAGTCACAGAATATATCATGACCATACTTCTTGTTGATTTTTGGGGCAAACTTACATATTTCTTGTCCATGATCCCGCCCATGACAGCGCCACTGGTGTACTTCTCCTGCTTGGCAGGGTTGGCGATCTCACGGACGGCCACCACGAAGGGCGAGCTCGCCACGAGAGCAAGGCTTGCAAGTCTCATCATGATGATTTTCGACACAAGTACCTTAGGTGCGGCCTACTATGGACAACAGTAAACAAGAACTGCTCTGCACAATTCAATGCATGTGATGGGACACCAAGCAACCGAACCCTTCTTATATCTACTTGGGGTCAAGGCCCGACATTTTATAGTCGTAGTAGTATATACATGTCATCACCCTCGATGTGAATTATGATATTGACGTGCGATTATCTGCCAAGGTTTGGGTGTGTGATATGGCCCCTACCTAGGTAGACATTATTACAACACTGTGGAAACTAGGTCCAAAATAGGTAGGTGCGAACATTGATGGATTTAACCAGAGCCTCATGCACTGTCACGACATTTTTGCCAAGCTACAGATAGACGCTCGGAATGGTTGCTTATGTTGCTTGGCCTTCTTGGCTATGGCGATCATCTGCAGTGCATTTTCCAGTACCAAGCCCAGGGCATTTTGCGCCTATCAGACTACAAGATGGACGTTGCTTCACATTGCGCTCAGAGCATCGCCAAGCGACAAAGTGCACGGCAAGGGGTTGAACGACTCTAGCTGCCTATAGCGGTTACGAGCACGTATGGCAAGTGATATAAAGCCAAGAGGAGGGGGATGTGACCTTCTGTAAGTGTTAACTGAATCCAAGAAAAAAGAAATCAAGTATAATCTATGTACGAATGGTATCTTGTGTACTTCGTATAGATTCCCAAAAGATATCAGTATCCTAACGTGAATTGGCAAACTGGGAATTAAGTTCTTGGCTTCACATAGCCGAAAACACTCATTTCTCCACTGCCTTGTTATCAACCGACTCCTCTCCCGAGTGTGCGCTCTCCACACCGGTAATTCCCTCTACAACACCCTTGCTCATTGCTGCTGGGTCGATGTGCGGACCCTCATAGTTCTTCCTTCCATCTATAATCCACTGGACGACAGCTATGATCAGAACAACACCGAAAGCAACGACTGCGTAATTCATGTTGTCTCCCGTTACAGGGTTATCGGGAGGGAACACGAAGAGGACTGTTGTCAGAACCGTCCAGGCAATGCCAACCTGTATCACATCATGTCAGCTAAGTCTTCGATTTGAAATGGAGAAAAATGAAAACAAAGATGTAGGGAGACTGACCAAGTTGGTGAGCCAGCCAAGCCAGTTAGGCATCTTGAAAACACGACTCTCGGGTAGCATTGTACGACCACGCAAGACGTTGATGGCAGGAGGAATGGCATATGTCACGCCGAGGGCAACAACACTCGCAGCGGTGATGGCGTTAAAAGCGCTGGAAGAGCCTAGGAATACACATCCGAAGATGATGACCCAAGCAGCAGTCCAAATCAAAGCGTTCAAAGGAACATCCAGTCCCGTGTGAACCTTGGCGAAGACGCGGCTGACAGGTAGACCTCGGTCGCGGGCAAAGGCGTAGCTCATACGGCTGCTGGTCGTCATGATCGAGGTGGTCGTGAATAGCATGCATACGATGGGGAACATGAGCAGACACACGGCTCCGGCCTTGCTGCTCGTTGCATCGTATAGGATCTGGAGAAGGGGTCCGGCCGCGGATTCAATGGTGTTGTCCAAGTCCTTGAGCACGAAAAGCAGGCACATCAAGAAGATGAAGCCTGTGAACATGCCGATGACAATACAGGAAAGCATGATCCTAGGACCCTCGATCTGTGGCCTCGGGCTGAAGAGTTATCAGGTAAATTAGCCATTTGTTCTTTCTTTTCTCACTCTTGATTTGGAACGTTGCACCATCTTACATCTCTTCAATCATGTGGATGACCGCGTCAAATCCCGTCAAGGCAAAGGCACCCTGCAAGAGACCGAGGAGCCACGCGAGTCCATCTGGCCAACCACTCTCGTTGATGAAGCCCCCAAACACGAAGGAAGCGCTTTGATAGTTTGGCGTAGCACATGCGAGTACGGTGATACAAATGATTGCAAAACCAGCCAGTGACCAGAGGAAGGCGGCCTTGTTGAAGTAGGGTAGCAACCTGTTCATGAAGGCATTGATGAAGAAGGCAGCGAGTGTGTAGGCAATGTAGATCAGGAACTGGTGCCAAGACTCTGCCACGTAGTCAGGGTGCAGCAGCGAGATGACGCCCAAAATCAGTTGACTACCCAAAAGGCCACCGCTTGCTGTCAGACACACCCACGCAGCAACATTGATCCAGCCCGTCGAGTAGCTGATGACTCTGGCGAAGCGTGGCCAGCTGATGATAGCAGCCCAATGGTACTGACCACCAGCTGTCGGGTATGCGGAAAGGAATTCTGCTAGTGATGCAGCAAGACAGAGATTGCAAAGGCCGGCCACTATGAGACCCCATAAAATGGCACTCGAGCCTCCGGAAGGTAGCGCAAGAGACAACGAAGCTGCGAGAGCGGTCCAACTGTTGAGAATGGCAAAGGCGAGGCCAAGCATAGATATTCTGCTAAAGTTACGCTGGAGCTCTTGCTTCACTCCGAGCTGCTCGAGGGCTGCGGACTCGTCGACCACACCGAGCTGGCGCTGAGTGACGCCGGACTCTGCCATGATGGGCGGGCGGGCTGTCCCAGAAGGGGAGGCTGTCGACGTCAACCTTCAGAGTTTGACTGTCACAGAGTGTCGAAGATGTATGTACTGGCGTTTGACGAGCCGTTGCAGGTGATGGTGAAGTCGATGAAGACGAAGTTGTTCGAGTAGGGACAAAAGGGCCGTATGAAGGAGGAGAGGGTTCTACCGTGGTGAAGGAGCTAAAAGAAACTATACATAGGGCTTATGATGTAGGGATCGCCCTCGTTGCGTCCCGAAAATTTAGGATCCATCTTCGTCTGTACTTTCCAAAGTCGGCCTCGAGCTGGGGGGTTGCCGAGTCGCTCATGTCCCTATCGATGGTAGCGCATTGCTGTCCCGTCCCCACAGCCATCCCGGATGATCTTCCAGCCCTAATCTGGGCGCCCATTGGCTCCTCCACTGCGCCGCTGCACCGCTGCGGCTCTGTGATTGAGTGGGCG